GAGTCATGAGATTTACCTGAGATCAAGACCCTGATCTGAGATCAAGAGTCAGACGCTTAACCGACTGAGCCACCCAGAAACCCCTAAAACTATACTTTTTAAATGTGAATTCAGTATTCATATTTGTCTCAGATGCCAGCCTTGCCAAACTTTAAATGGGCATCTATGATATACCACATATGTAATGATAATCTGCCATACATCTAATTTCATAAGCATACCAGTCCCATCACTAGTTATTTCATGAGCACTCAGAGTACATCCTAAATTCAGTGGGATGGAGCTTTTATGTTTTCCTTTCCCTAGAGAAGCAATATGTGACCTGACTGTAGTGCATCTGTTGTACTAGAAAGATGCACCACAGTCAAAGACAAAGTCATTCCTGATGTCTTGCCCATTCTAAGCTCCCAGGACAAGCCAAAAGTTAAAAGCTCTAGGCTTCTAATCCAGCAATTACCATGGCAACAGTAGTCTTATTGAAAGAAAGGAGGAGAGTTCAGGCCTCTCAGCTTTTTCTACACCTGTGACATACACACATTTATCAATGAATAACTTGGGACTTCTATGGTTCCAAATATAATGCAAGTATTTAAAGCTTCCAGAATATGCAAAGTCTTACTGCACTGAAATTGAGTTGAAATCCGGAGAGTGGGAAACAATTTCTAGCACTGATACAGTAAACACTATTTATAACAAAATACTATAACAAATTGCAGATTATACAACAGCAGGATGGGGGGGAGCTTTAAACATCTCCTGGATGGAGGCGCCTGGGTGGCTCAGTCGTTAAGCATCTGCCTTCGGCTCAGGTCATGATCCCGGGGTCCTGGGATGGAGCCCCGCATTGGGCTCCCTGCTCAGCCAGCTTCTCCCTCTCCCGCTCCCCCTGCTTGTGTTCCCTCTCTAGCTGTTTCTCTCTCTGTCAAATAAATAAATAAAACCTTTATAAAAAAAAAATCTCCTGGATGTTCTCTATACAAACATCTATCTAATTATAAGAACCTCTTCTATAAGGTTCTAAGAAATAAAAATAAAGTACCAGAAAGACAGAAAGACTTTGCCAAGGAATAAAGTAGGAGTCATACCCTGGATTTTAATTTCCTAACTTTCAGTACTTCACTTAGGAACAAAGAGTCAACTATCCTCAGATACACAGAAGACAACACATCTTGGGGATTTTGTCTAACTAACTTTTACCTTGTCCAAACTTTTGCCTCTGATGAAAAGCCACTAAGGGAAATTCTCTGTTCCTTCATTTTATTTTTCTACTCTCACTTGCCTACTTCTCCCTGCTATTCCTTCATTTTAAATATCATCATACAAAGCTGACAAAAAATAATGGTCCAAGTTTTAATTTAGGCCACTGCTTACATACCTTTCAATAATACAAACAAAATACAACTATGTACTTTGAATTCACAAATATCTAGTTATTACCCTCTTAGGATACTCATTTCAAGCCTAATAAAACTTTAAAGAGACAGAAATTAATACACAGGGAAATTTTAAGGATAAAACAAATACTGATAAGAAGTATTAATCACTACATACATCATCTCTGTTGAACTGGAGCAGGTGACGTCAGATGATAAGAACTGAGAAAGTGAAAATGGGGTATTTTTACTCTCCGAGGATCAAAACCTCTCAAATGCTCAGCCCTTTATGAGAATCCAGAAGCAGAGCCGTCATATAACATGTATTGACCACGGTTCCCCTAGAGATTGTGATGGTTCTTAAGAGCCACTAATGATTCTGCCTTGCACTTTCTCCCCCTGGCTATTTTCTAGTGCCTTTGCCCTCATCTGAAATGACTTCTCCCTTTTCCTCAGAAGTTCCAACTACTTCCAGATCCAGTTTAAACCCCTCAAGGCCTTCCGAAAATCACTCTCACCTCTAAACTCCTAATTTGTATGACATCTTCCACGCCTTTGGAAATTAGTTATGCATGCCTAATGAGAGTTCTGAGAATGGATGCTTACCTTTCCTTCTTATTTAATATTTTTATTACTTAACTTTTCACATATTTAAAACCCTTGAGGATAATATATCTTACATTTCTTTTTGTTAACCTGTATAGAAGGTACCATTAAATATTTGTTGATTTAAATTTATTTAAAACTATTCACCACTTTTTTTTTCAATCATTCCATAGTGTTGATTTAACAAAGTTCAAAAAATGTAGATGAAAATAATGGTACTCCATTCCAAAACTACCTTCTAAACCACTACCTTTAGCTACTGCAAGTAATTTTTTTAAACTAGAATGCTCACAATTCAAACAATACTGAAGAAGATAAAGGTAGCTAAAGAAATGTCATGGAAGCGGGTTGAGAAAAGATATGAGATATTAAATGAACAAGAATGGAGATCCATGTTGGGCAGATAACAGAAAACAAGAGGAAGTGGTAAAAGAAATCAACGTGAACAAAATTGGCAATGGAATGGAATGAACTATTCTTGGCTGATATCCTCCCCTACCTAAGCAATTGCAGTAATTTCAATGATTTCCTATACAGTAACAGAATTATGGAGTAAGAAATAGAATGCTCAGAATAATCAATGAGGAAATTAGTTTATCTGGCCTCAATCCCTTCATCTGTAAAATGAATAAGTGGATACATGATTGCCTCAGGAGAGACAGCATGTGCAGAAGTTGAAAGTGCAGACAGTGACTGTCATTATATAAAATGTTACCAGTGGAGATAGCTAGGTGAAGGGTATGTGAACTCCTTGTGCTATTTCTGCAATTTCCTGAACTTCTGTAATTATTTCAACATAAAAGTTTTTAAAAGTACAGGCTGTGGAACCAGACCACTGGGGTTTGAATAGAGGTACAATCATTGGCCGGGTGACCTCGATCAAGTCATTTAACCTCTCTGGGTTTCACTTTGCTCATCTGTGAAATGAGGATAATAACAGTATTTATCTCATAAACAGTTGTGTGGGTTAAATAAACTAATACATGTAAACCACTCACAACAGTGCTTGTCATATAGTAGTCACTCAGTGGTCAGCCTTTATTAATGTGGTTATGATCTTTTCAAAATTATTCTAAGATAGTGTTTAGCTCTAGAATACATGTAAGCTATTGTTATTTTTGCACTACTAATGTGGAGAGAAACAAACTAGTTTGAAAAAAGAGAATAAATCTTGGGGCGCCTGGGTGGCTCAGCTGGTTAAGTGACTGCCTTCGGCTCAGGTCATGATCCCAGAGTCCTGGGATAGAGCCCCGCATCAGGCTCCCTGCTCCTCGGGGAGCCTGCTTCTCCCTTTCCCTCTTCTTGCCGCTCCCCCTGCTCGTGCTCTCTCTCTCTGTCTCTCTCTCTGTCAAATAAATAAATAAAATCTTAAAAAAAAAGAGAGAGAGAATAAATCTTGGTAGCCATTGTGGCCAATGTTTTAGCTTGGTCACCTGTCTTCTCTCCATAAATGAGGATTTAATGCCATATTTATACAAAGCGACTTGCATTTATTTTTTTTGAAAAATGGATATATCACAAAGAACCATGCCATTGGAAAGGTGTCTCAGTTTACATTGGAGCCTGGGTTCCTGCTACATCAGGGTCATCTGCCAAAGAACCACGTCCTGGTTTGAAAACTCTAAAGAACAGAAGATGTCACATTCTCTCTAGCTAACCCTTACCAGGACCTCAAAGACGTCAGGAAATTATGCTTGGCACGTTTTACACTTACTGCATCTTGTCACCAGTGGATGTAGAGGGTAAGTTTTAGAACTTTACACCTGAAGACTGCTATTGGATCACTCGGTTCTTCCTTCTCTTTAATCTTCTTATAGATACTATCTTCCAATTGTTTAATCATCTTCCATTTCTACTTTACAGAGTTACTGTAAAGATTACATGAATTAGCATACATCAAGACACCTCGCTCTGTAGGGGGCACATAGTAAGCATGTAATGCATTTTTCCTCCTTCTCTAAGGAATAACGAAACTATCTCCATCAGAATGTGAGGCAGTTGAGGTATTCGAATCAGAATCTCATAATGAATATACAGGCAAGCTCACAAATCCCTAGGTTTTTATCTTCTTTTTGGAGTTTTCAATAGTTATGAAACCAGATCCTAATTGTTCTTCTCTGCTCACCCTCGTCAATTTTTATCCAGATCCCAAACTTTAAGCTATTATGATGTCTTTTAAAGCTTAGATACTTTAAACCGAAATAGTTCAAGAAACATATACTATAAATAGACATCCTTTGTGAAAACTTCTTTTTCTTAAAATTATTCTTCGCCTCACCTAAACCATATTCAGTCACATTCCACTTAAAATGTTTTTTGCACTTCTTACAATTACTGTAAATGTGCTCCTCCCTCCCTTTCAAATTGTGAAATCTTGTCAAAAAAGGAAGATTTTATAAAATCAAACACCTACAGTAATATTGCAATATGCTAGACTATAACTGTGAGAGAAAATTAATTCAGTAAAAATGGTATCCTGTTACTTCAGTTTGCAACTCTCCTGTCTGTTTTTAAATGATTTTTAAAGCCAGAACAGTCTGTATGCTTCTCACAATATCAGTGTTTTCAGCTGAATTTTCTCCTCCTATTCTTATGATTCTATTCTGAAAATGACAAAACATGAATGGGAAAAATACCAAAGCTTGATTTTTCAGATAACTACTACTTGAAGAGTAGTCTGGAAAATTCTGTGTTCACTTTCAGCCTTCCTTGCCTCCTCAAAAAGAAATGGGTTTTTTGTCAAATGCTATGAGAGAATGGTTAAAAGAACCTTTTGATTTGCAAGCCACTTTGTCCTCAAATGCTGCTACATTCCTGAGAATTTTTTTTCTTTAGTTCTGAGACTACAACAAAACCCAGTTAAAGCAGCAGGATTTCCTAACACAATGCTGCAAAACCCAAGTTCTGATCAAGATTACCTGCAAACTCAATAGAATGAATAATGAGATTCTTATTAGACTGCTTTTTTTCTACAAGAGAAAAATACTTCAAAAACAAATTGTCACTGGAGTGATGGTTTACCTTAAAGAAACACTGTACTCAGGATAGAAGACACTTGTATATCGGACCCATGCACCAACTTCCTCTTCATTTACCCTTTTTTTGGCTTCTGTTACTGAAAACAGATTAAATGATTCAAATCTTCTTACAGATACATGTCGCAGGCAATCATCCAGGTGCTTTTGCTTCAGAACCTTTGAAATAAAAACAAATATTGTGTTCATATTATATAAACACATGTCAGATGTTCAAAGTTTAAGCGGTAAGGGGACTTTCATTCCCAGTAATAGCAGATTAGATAATGTAGACCAACCTCTTACTGCAGACGACTAGAGAAGATGGACAGAACATATTTTTTTTTAAGATTTTTTTATTATTTATTTATTTGAGAGAGTGGGAGAGAGAGGGACAGAGTGGGAGGGAGAGAGAGAAAGAAAGTGAGCAGGGGGAGGAGCAGAGGGAGAGGGACAAGCAGACTCTATGCTGAGTGTGGAGCCCGACGTGGGGCTCAATCCCAGGACCTGAGACTATGACCTGAGCCGAAACCAAGAGTCAGATGCTTAACCAACTGAGCCACCCAGGCGTCCCTGGACAGAATATCTTAAAACATTATTTAAAGGTAGCAGAGAACAAAGAACAAAACAGAGAACTAGTAAAGATTTACCAGTCTAATAACTTAAAAAGGAAATAAATCTAGAGAGGTGAGCCTGGCTTTTGCAATCACTCTCCCTGTGGGGACATTGATCCAATTCCAATAGAAAGAGCTAAGAAGACAAGCAGCACCTTTTACAGCTGTGGACTTAGAGGGTAAAAGCTGAATTTCAAAACTTACTACCTAGGCAGGGGCAGGTATATTGTTCTGAGCCTGTCTCATGAGTGCGTGTATGTGTATCTGTTTTAAGATAAATCAAATGAGTAATTTTGTTGGGGGTCATTGAAAACTGGGTTTTTAAGTATGGGAGAAACAAATACAGCTGTAAGATTAATGATGCTAAGCAAAAACTCTAGAGCTCTGAATCTGAATAAAGTATAATAGAAACTAATGGGTTTTTTTAATTTATTAAAACATTTTAAAATATAGGGGCGCCTGGGTGGCTCAGTCGTTAAGCGTCTGCCTTCGCCTCAGGTCATGTTCTCAGGGTCCTGGGATCAAGTCCCACATCGGGCTCCCTGCTCAGCGGGAAGCCTGCTTCTCCCTCTCCCTCTGCCCTGCTTGTGTTCCTGCTCTCGCTATCTCTGTCTCTGTCAAATAAATAAATAAAATCTTTAAAAAAAATTAAAAAATAAAATAAAAACATTTTAAAATATATATATATTTCCTACAACTGAAATATCTGTAGGAAAAAATGATATATCTGAGATTCATTTCAAAATAATCTGAGATAGGAGGATGTGATGAGAGAATAGAGATAAAATAAAGTTGGTCAGGAATTAAAAATTGTTGAAGTTTATGGATATCTGAGTGCTTATTATACTATTATCTCTAATTTTGTATATGTTTGACACTTCCCATAATAGAAAGTTTTTTTGAAGATATAGAACATCCTAATAGTCATAATCAAATGAAAAATAACTAAAAAGTTACCTAAAACACCAAATATATTTGGAAATAAAGCAATATACTTCTGAATAACTTATGAACCAAAAGAAAGAAAACCCAATGGAAATCTGAAAGTATTTTGAACTGAATAATAAAAACACATTTCAAGACATATGAAATGCAGATAAATTCACGCTTAGAGGAAAACTTGTGGAAAGGCTAAAAATCAGTAAGCTAAGCATCCACTGCAAAAATTACAAAAATAAGCAAATTAAGCTCCCTAAAAAATAGAAATTAATAAAGTAGAAAACAAAAATATAGCTAGAAGGATTAAAACACCAAAAGTTGGTTCTTTGAAGAGATTAATAAAACTGACAAATCCTTGATAACACTAAGAAGAAAAAAGAGAGAAAATATAAATATGAATGTGACACAGGAAGATCACTATAGATCCAGCAGGCATTAAAAAATAGCAAAGGGATATTATAAAAACTATGAAAATTTAGATGAAATGGATAAGTTCCTAGAAAAATACAACTACCAAAACCAACACAAGAAGAGACAAAAAATCTGAATAGTGCTAAACTATTTTAAAAATATAATGCATAGGTGGGTGGGGGGAAGGGATAATTGGGTGATGGGCATTAAGGAGGGCACTTGATGTAATGAGCACTGGGTGTTATACACAACTAATGAATTGCTAAATTCTACCTCTAAAACTAATTTAAAAAATAAAAATAAAAATACAATGCATAAATAAAAATCTTACCAAAGAAAACACCAGACCCAGATTGCTCATCAGCAAATTACACCAAATGTCTAAGGAAGAATTAATGCATGTCTTACCACACTCTTCACTAAATCTTCAAACAACCCTATGGGATAGATACTAATTATATGAGAGAAGAAACAAGGGGGTGTTAATTTGCTGAACATCAGAGAGCTACGAAAAGGCAAAGAATCATGCTCTCTTTCAGCACTGATAGTTTCAAACATATGGCATCGTGTTTTAATTTAAATTATACTGTGAAATATTCCCTTAATCAGATTAAGTCAAGTATTAGACCTCTAGGTAAGATTATTCATTCTGTAGGTGTTTGTGAATACGTGTGTAATGGTCATGATACTTTTTCACCTCCCCTACCTCCCTTCCTCTTGGGAACTGCCCCTCCCTCAACCTATGAAATAATGATGGGATTGTTATCTTCCCTGCCACAGGGTGGGCTAATGTCCCAGGTAGCCAAAGTGCCTCATTCTCCTGGACCCAACAACTGGTCCAAGCTTGGCCTATTAGAGTCATTTAATGGACATTATTTCGGTGTTGAGAAAAAGGGTCATTTCTTCTGGATCACTAGTTGAGAGCATGATGAAAGCCTGTAGTTGCCAGTAGCCATCTTTGCTATCAGGTAATGAGACCCAACAAAGAGGAAAATAGAATACTATCCAAAGCTTCTATCAATATTGATCCATAGTCTTCATCTGATTAAAGTGAGCACTAGGCTCAAAAGTCAGCAAGTCATGTGACCTGGTATCAAATGATGAACTAGGTCAATAGGGTTTTTTCTTTAAAAAAAAAGGTTAATTACAAAACCAAAAAAGATATTGAACAGTTAAAGTGAAGGACCGTTAGATAGCATTGAAGCCCTGTGGGGAAAGGGAATGACAGAATTATGAAGAAGAAAACAAGCAGACACAAGTAGATATCATGAAGATGTCCCATGAGAGAGAGCTGCATATCTCTATCACTGTTTAGATTCCTGGGTTTTCCAGTTCTGGGTGCACACAAGATGTGGATGGTTCATTTGAGACATATTTACTAAGTACTTGCAAATGTTTAATATACATGGTAGATTAGATTTATTATGGAAAAATATTCACTTCCTTTCTTGCCCTCTTCAAGGAAAGAGTATACTTCTCTGCCCTTTGATTTTAAGCTTGGCCAAGTATCTTACTTTGGCCAACAGGATGTTAGCAAGGGCTTAAAATGTGTTTTGGTGGTTGCCCTTGCTCTCTTATACCTCTGCCATCACCAGGAGAATATGTCGGCCAACTGGTCCAAGGATTAGAGCCAGTCTGCTGATGACAGCCTATGTCAGTCAATTCCCAGGTGGCCCACAGATGCACAAACAAAATAAATGCTCACTGGTGTATGCCATTTTAATGTTGTAGTTGCTTGTTACTCATTAACAGCTAACTGATACAATACACTGAGGACTTGATACTATGGGCCACTTAAAGCCTGTTCTTACTCTCAGGTTTTCCACAACACTTAACAATATCTGCTAAAAAAACAAAACAAAACAAAAACTAGCCAGGCACTGTGCAACGTGCAGAGGATGGAGATCAATAAAATATCATATTTTCCCAGGGAGAACTCCCATCCTAGTAAGTTAGACGGACTCTAATCAAATGATCAAAAAATATGATACGGGGTTCACTGGTAGAGTGAGCTGAGGGTCTAACTCAGCCCAGTCAGGAGAGGCTTCCTAGAAGACATTAAAATGTAGTTCTGAAAAATGAACATTCAACAAATAGGAAAGAAGATAAGACTCTAAGCAGAGTACACACGTGTACCAAAACATTAAATGTCAAAACATGTGGGGAGTACAAATGGCAGCCATAGCTAAAGCTTAGCCTGGTTCTGATGTAGACAGCAGCTCAGAACGAACATATGTGCTGGTCAACTGGCATTCTTACTATAGTAAGAATCACTGAAATCATCACAATGAGATTTTAAGAATCACTGAAACCATCACAGTAAGATTTGATTGATTAATTTAAGGCCCTAATTGACTACATCGATAATTCAACTTTAACTGATGTTTATTTCACTGTAGAAAGTTCCTATGATAATGATCTATGAGGACCTGCATTTCTTACCCTACAATTTTGTAACATTAATAACAAAACCAGATCATCAATGCTTTGGAAAGACTTTCAAAGCATCCACAAGGAAATGACCACTGAGTTATGTCATGACACCATATGAAAAGGTGACTGGAGACAACTGCAAACAAAGTAACCCTCAAAATACTAAACACAAATCTCAAATAAAGTAGCCGCTGCTGGAAAATTCTTCTCGAAATACAAGTCAGAAAGGTAAAGTGTCCTCTTGAGTCAAGTTTTCAGAAGGAAACCTCAGCAGAGGCGTAACACTGGTGTGCAAAACAATAAACAGATTTTACTTCAAGAAGTTTGGTGGGGGAGAAGTTTGGAAAGAGGGTCGACGATGTCAAATCAGAAATCTGTCAAACTTGCATACAACTGAAGCAACAGTAACAGCAGCAACTCTTAAGTACTAGAAAATAACAGCCATTAAACAAACCAATACACCCGAACTAGTCCACCTCGGACACCAAGAATCTCGCTGATCACTTCAAACTACAAGATCAATATGAAAACTTGACATCCCACCAAAAGACAGAGGCAGTAGCTCTTGATACACCTTCCACACTCCGTTGTACCGACAGCACGTGCAACGTCAGAGTCCCAACACAGTCAACCACGCAGATCTCCAAGAAAGGGGCCAAACTTTGAACCAGACTCAGGCTGGCAGATAAGAAGCAGAAGAAATTCGGGGAAAGAAGTAAAACAGAAGCAGGAAAGAGAAGCAGCATAGGATGGGGAGCGGCGGTCCCACCAATTGGATTGGTGAGCAAAGAGAAAAGTCCCCCGGATGCAGACAAATAGCCAAAAGAAGATCTACTTCCATCTGAGTTTCCTAGGAACTCAGCGTTGGCTGCCCCCTCCCCGCCCCACCCTAATTCCTCGCTTTCGGTGGGACCCTTAGTAGAAGCAAGGGGGCGTTTCGCAGGTGGCTCCCGGCAAAACTACGAGGGAACTCCCAGAGCTGCCAAGAGGAGAGTCGCGGCCGGTGGCTCGCCGCGTACCTGCGAGGGAAGTGACCAGATGCAAAGGTGAGGTGGGTGGGCTATCCCTTACCTGCCGCAGGAGCTTCCACCGGGCGGCTCCCAAGGGCTCCGAGACTTGAAGCCCCCGAGAGGCGCCGCCGTCTGCTGGGCCTTCGCCCACAGCTCGCTCAGCCTCGCCGGCCTGGGCGCCCGCGACTCGCGACTCCATCCCGTTAAAGCCGCCTATACCCCGAGTTGTCACCGCCAAAGCTCTCCCCTGCCAGGACCTGCCGACTTCTTCCCAGTCAGGACCTGTGAGCCGGACCACCCTCCAACAGCCCTAGCGCGCGCGCCCTCCCCGAATTCCGCATTTCCGGTATTCGCGTCTCCTTGGCAACCAGGACAGCGCCGCTTGCGTCATTGCACCATTTTTTGCTGGTGGCCATCTTTAGTGAGGGCGGGCCGAAAAGTAAGGGAGTGATGGCAGAACTCGCGAGACACTGGCTCTTCTTTTCCCCTTGTCCCCTGCCTCTTCTCGAGCCCAGAAGACTAGAAAAGAACGAAAAGCCTTAAAACTTTCAGGGTTTAAAAAAAAACCCAGGAGGAGGAGAAGCCATTCATGACCACAATAAACATGGCGAAATCTGCTTAGGGCTGGTGCTGGACTGGGGTTACGCAGACCTGCGTGCTGCAAACCAGCTCTGGGCGGCTCTGGATAGGTTGTCGTTCTGCGGATTGCAGAACGCAGACTTCGGCTGGACGCGACTGAGGTAACAGCAGTCATCTTCCCTGAAAGCTTTTGGTTCTCGGACTTGCCCTCTCTTGTTTCGGTGTGCAGAGCCCGGCCGACTGTCCTTCAACTTGCGTACGTATGGAGGGGCATACTGTGTACAGGAGGGGTTCTCCCCATTTTCCCCTCACCCAGTCATGCCTCAGTCCCCTGGTCCTCGCTTTTGCGTGGCGTCCCTTCTCCGCGTAACACAAACTGCCGCCACCCCCTACTCCCAGCCTCCTTGCACTCACTTCGCCTCATCTCTGGGGTGGAGAGTTGCACCGAGAAAGCGAGTGAGTCCCCCCGGGAACACCCATTCGTTTCCCCCACCCCCATCCCTAGCCTTGCATACTGTCTTCTCCCTGCGGATGAAAATGGATGGGCTGAGGCTGCCGGCATGCATATAATGATTTAGGTCTTCACGGGCCCCTGTTACAGGGCCTTGGCGGGCGGGGGTTGGGGGTGGTTAGTGTTGGCTGCTGATCTCTTAACCCCACTCGCCCGTTATTTTGCTGCGACACAGAAAGAGGTTCGGGGGTGGAGGTGGCGGAGGCGTCGTAGTGGATCAGATCTCTAGTAAATCTGACGCAATATTGTACTTTTGATACCGAGGGGCGTTTTGTGGAAGACGTCCATGCTGACATGCAACAGTGTGCAAGACACTTTGATTTCTCTTATAATAATAGTAGCCGGCATTTATTGAGTGCACACTACGTGCCAGGCACTGTATTAAGATCTTTACATAAATTGTCTAATTTTATTCTTACAACAACTCCATTAGGTAAATGTGTCATTATCTCAGTTTTGCAGCTGAAGAAACTGAGGCACAGGTGGTGAGTGCCGGAGTGACGACCTGAACCCAGGTGTCTCTCTTAAGTACTTATTAGCCTTACTTTGATGGGTTAATAAGAACCATCTGTTCGACAGAAACCAGAGGTGGCCTCACATTATATTTGTTCATCCTGAAGTGATGTGTTTTAACTAAAGAGCTAAATATCTTTTCCACGTTAAGTCCAGTTGTTGTTACGTCCAAGATTTGGAGCCAAACCAGATTGGACATTCTGTTCTGCTACTTTCTGTCCAAGTGACCTAGGGCACTTGTCAAAACCTCCCAGAGCCACAGCTTGCTCACCTGTAAAATAAATGTTATAATGGCTACTCTATCAGGTCCTTATGAAGTTTAAATTAGACAAAGTATATAAAAGTGTCTGGCACGAAGCACACTCAACACTCCTCTACCTTTATTAAATAAGTAGGCTTTTCCAGTTTATCCTTCATATACCTCCCAAAGATATGTCCTGAATTTCGTAAGGTCAAAGCCATTTTGCCTTTTAACGCCGTCAAGAGTTCTGGAGATGCCCTCATTAAGTCTGTATTTGTTTGCAAATTTTTATTTTTGTTTTTTGTTTTTTGTTTTGTTATTTTTTAGTTTGCCCCATGTGTACCAGAATCAGTGCTGCATAGTCTGAGCCTGATAGGATTGACTTTACAAATGAGACATTTAAGTCACGTCTGCTGAGAAGTATGATTTGAATGAAACTTTAACTTATACAAGTTTTCAGGTATTTTTAACCTGAGTTATCAGCTGTCTGCAGTTATTCATAACCTGAAGGGGAGGGATAAGAACTGCGGATCTTAGATACTCTGAGAACCCACTACTGTGTAATCCTACCTATGAAATCATGTGCTGACAGCCCCAAAGGGAGCGTAAACCAGGGACTCTGATATCATGCAGCAGAAGAGCAAATTATTTCTCCAGGCTTTGAAGTATAGTATTCCTCACCTTGGGAAATGCATGCAGAAACAGCACTTGAATCACTGTAACTTCGCTGATCATTATTACAATAGAATAAAATTGAAAAAATATCACCTAACCAAGTGTCTGCAGAATAAACCCACGATATCAGAGTTAGCAAGAAACATCCCAAGTCGGAGCTTCTCAAGTAAGGTATGGACTTTTTAAGTTAACCTATTTGTAGGTCATTAAGATTAATTTTATTTTAAAGATAAAGAATGGGTAAGAGATCAGTTACTAATATTCTCAGTAATTCTAGTTTGATTTTTAAAGTGTTAAGGCTCAATTGTAGCTCAATTTAAGTATAAAAGAATATATGCATATATATTTATACAGTTGTAATATATAAAGATATATATTTATGAAAAATGATTCACCTTAGGAAATCCTTATGCCTACCAGTACATTTCAAAGTATAATTCAGCTTTCTAAACTTCCTAGAATACCATAATAGCTTTTAACAAAATCTAATAATACGTTAATTGTTTTATGAATCTCAAATTAGAAAACTTGAGTAATTCCATGTAATTGTGTGTTGATTCTTTGTTAAAAAAAAAAATTGAAAAAAGGCTTTGCATTTTTGACCACTTGGGTCCTTCAGGAAGATGCTTTCAGACTGTTGTACTTTGGCCAGACCCCAAGCTATGGGCCTGACCTCAACCTTGAGGACCTGATTGCCGTTATATGTAGAGTCACCACACATTGTATTTGCGTGGGACAGTCCCAGTCTACACCTGTTATTCCTCTGTAATTATTAATAGTGTCCCCTTTCCTCTCAAAAATGTCCTCATTAGGATGGTAAATTATATGGTCATCCTACTTATTTGAGATTAAGCTATCTATTTATGCTGCTGCCACTTTGACATACCTCCCTACCATATAATTGTTATGATCCTTAGGCTCCTTAAATTACATTTGGGGGTGATACTTTTGCAATAATTTGCCATTTTGTTTTAATATTTAAGTTTCTGGTTTAAATTGTTTTGTTGCATACTGATTTTTCTTTTTAGTTTTTTTATTGTGGTAAAACGTGTATAACAAAATTAGCCATTTTAACCACTTTTAAGGATATAAATCAGTGGCATTAATTACATTGACAATGTTGTACAGTCATCACCACTATTTTTAAAACCCTGTCATCACCCAAAGAAATGTATCCATCAAACAATAACTCCCCACTGCCTCCTTTTCCAGGCCCCTGGTAACCTTTAATCTACTTTATGTCTATGAATTTGCCTATTCTAGATTAATTCATGTAATTGTAATCATACGGTATTTATCCTTCTGTGTTTGGCTTATTTCATTTAACATGTTTTCAAAGTTCATCCATGTTGTAGAATACATCAGAACTTCATTCTCTTTATGGCTGAATAATATTCCATTGTATGTGTATATACCATATCCATTTATCTGTCAAAGGATACTCTTTTTCATCTTATTTTACTGGATTATTTATTTAATGTTTGCTCTTAGCTCATGCTTATGGGTTCTTATGTGGGGGTTTTTTTGTTGTTTTTTTTGCCTGTTTTTTGTTTTCCCTTTTAACTTTTTATCTGTGGTTCCTAGACTTCTTTTACTCTTTACATCTTAGTCTTTCAAATTATTTTTCTTTTTATAGTATCGTGGCTTAGTTTAACACTTTGATGCTTTCTTTATTCAGAAATTCTTTGCCTTTTATTTCATTATCTTGTGTGTGTGTGTGCGCAGCTTTATTCTACTTAAGAAACATAAACTTCAAGTTTTACCTATTGGAAAAATTTGGGGTCTTTAGGTCATTTTATTTTGCACTTTGTTTGGAACATTTTGTCATCTAGTAATTTATATTGAGTCTTAGTTTATAAATAGTAGGCAGGAATTATGGGCAGAGTGACAGCTGAGATTAGCTCAGACCCTGAACAGGAGGTTGACTATTTTTTCCCTCCATTTGTCCCTGAAGCAACTTTTCAATTCTCTTTCATAGATTCCTGTCACCTAGAAACTTTAACCTGAATTAGTAGCTCTTTTGGTAATTCTTCCACCTGAAAAACCAGTCCTGCTTTCACATGTGGTACATCAACCATTTCTTCTGTAAGAAATGATATATGAAAGCTGTGCTGTCTATCTTTTATGATCACTGGGACCCAGGGAAGCTGTGAAGAGACCTATAGACAACGCACATTTTCTTTCAGCAAGCATCCACTCAGTTCCAACTTTGTTCACTCCTGCAGATACAATAAAGTAAAAAAAAAGTAGTTGGTGCCTATAGGCAAATTCAAATATATCTTCCATGATAATGGAGAGAGGTAGAAGATTTGAGGGAAGATTGAAGAGATAGAATCAATCAAACTTCATCATTATAGGGTGATTACATTTTATTGGGGACATCTTAGTGTAGAGAATATAGGATGATAGTCCCTCTTCTGTTTGGATTCTAAAATTCAAAAGCCTCTTAGAAAAGTTGTTTTTAACTCAACCCCATCCCCCACAAACTGACACAAAGCTATTATGGTCTTTATCCCACTTAATAGATGTTTTGCTCCAAAATCTTCCTGTGTTTTCATTACAGGGTAGTGTTCCCCGCCCCCCCCCCATTACCCAGATAGGCACCATGTTAACTTTACAAAATCATTAAATACCAAAGCACATTTACATCATCATTATGTTTCAGTTGGACTTATGTCACAGTCACAAGTATACCCTATTGTTACTTAGATCTTAAAGAGTGAGGAAGGAAAAGCATGAGTGGCTCAGTTGGTTAAATGTCCAACTCTTGAGGCACCTGGGTGGCTCAGCCGTTTAGCATCTGCCTTCGGCTCAGGTCATGATCC